GTCCATATACATATATATATATATATACATATATATATATATATATATATATATATGTATCCTTTTGTCTTTGGCTCGAAGACAGCGGATGTCACCCATCTGTAACCTCATACAGCACCCAAATTCTATCTATACATATAGCAGTTCCAATTAGAGAGAGAGTATATGAAAATCAATCAATACCTGCTTCTCAACAACCATCCAAAACCGGTATACTTTTAAGTTTTAACATTCAGTGACTCAACACTGATGACCCACCCATTGTGATTGCACCAAACCCACTCCAACGCGGAGTGGCCTTTAAGGAAGCAGAGTCATCACAGGTTTGCCTGAAAAACACAACTGAAATTTGTTCTCACTCCTCATGGCAAGTCTTGTTAGCAATGCTGCAATAGGAGAAGACAAGGCCGACAACATCTCCAAAACATGTCTGACTCTCACTTAGCAGTGCGAGCAAAGCTGCTGAAGCCTGCAACATTCTTCCAGGATGGCACACAGGAGTTTTCACTCTTGCGCAATGCACACAACACACCGTGTGCAAAGTTAAAAACAATCAAGAGGGCAAAAGCAACTTCCAGACAATCTATGGCCAATTGACAACAAATGACTCCTGTTAGAAGCGTATAGAGCTTGAAGAAAAGATTGAAAAAGTTTGACTGAATAATAGTCCTCAATTTAATTATGTTCAAATCAACGTGAGTCATCCGTCATGACCAACTTGGAGTCTATCCGCTTCATGAGCCACTGGAAAACCCCATGCAGTAAGAGAAAACAAGAAAATATTTAGACTGGCCTCCTCCTTACAGGCTTTTATTCTCTGCTATCTTAAAAATATATAGACTGGCCTCCTCCTTACAAACTGACAGACTTTTAATCTCTGCCATCTCAAAGAATGCTTATCTGCTATCTTAAAGAATATTCATCAATTTGCTAAATCAGTGAGTCATATGGATGAGAGTGGAGGGAGTGATAGAGGGAGTGCGAGGATGAGTGAGTGAGTGAGYGATTTGGTAGACAGTGWGGGAGTGACTGTAAGGGCCGTTAACATCAACACATTGTATAATGACGAGTCCAAGCAGAGCTCCCACTTTAAGAGACCTGTCAGAGTACGACTCCAAATTATCCATCCATAAAGACTGGGCACACTTTATATTAAGCGTCTGAGACGACGMCATCCTCAAAACTTYGGCGTAGTGGCTCTACMGTCATCCCTCATATGTCTTCAATCGAGTCAGCCAGTTCCACTTTATGAGCAATACCTTCCAGCACAGGGAGRACGGCACCTTCACCTGTTGTCATGTTCGGCCTGTTGCGTCTCGAGCTTGCACACCTCAACCCCACCTGTGCAGCTTCCAAGGCCAGATCAACATCCCAACTTCCTGCGTTTGGGTCCAGGGCCCTTCTGAAGGCTTCCACATCTTCCACTGCGTCCTCCATGATTCCCAACGCATTCCTGAACTTCCCCGCGAGGATCTCAAGGATGGTGATTCCAAATGCGTAAACGTCCGTCTGCTGAGTGAAGACCTCAGTATGAGAAAACTCTGGGGCCAGGTACTTCGCATCAGTTACTGGGTGTGTTTCACCATCTTCAGTAACCAGTGGGGCAAGCAAGGCCATGTCCACCTCTGTGATTTTGGCAACAAAGTTACTATCCAGAAAAATGTTTTCCGGCTTGATGGTGCGGTGCACGATGGGACCACCTCTCAGTGACTGGTTGGAGTGCAGAAATGACAAGGCTCGAGCTACTTCGGCAATTATTCGCAGTCGAATGTACCAYGGGAGGAAGCCAATTTGTGACCTTTCAGCCAAGGAGATCAGGTCCTTCACATTTCCGTTGGCCATGTGTTCGTACACAAGACAATTTCCTACGTAGCACACTCCAAGMAAGGTCTGCAGGTGCGGGTGTTGCAGAGACTTCAGCAGGTCCACAAGCTCCCTCATCAATTGACATTGCTGATTCTGTGTCATGGCATTGCCAAACTTGAGTTTCTTTATCATAACGGGTGTGATGTTTCCCATGTAAATACATCCGTTATGTTGCTCTTGAAGTTTGCAATCATCATGGAAGTCATGTGTGGCCGTCTTCAGTTCGTCCAGGGAAAACCCTTTGAATAAATGACTGTCCAGTCTTGGAACCCCTTTTCACACTCCATCAGACCTTTCCAATCTCTCGCCTGCACCTCCTTCCGGCTCAAATCTGCTTTCCAGTTCTTGAACCCTTGTGCTCGATTTCTCCCATCTCTCTCTGAGCACGTCCCTTTCGGCCAACAGATTTGCTGTTTTGTCCTCAAACTGCTTGACTCTTTCTGAGTGCAGTCCTTTTGCCGTTTGAAATCTCTCCAATCTCTCTCCTAATGTCTGCCTCTCCCTCCTTACATTGCAAAGCTCAGTCTCAAACTCCTTTACCCTTTGTGCATGTGCTCGCCTCTCTTTCTCAAATCCCTCTTCAAGCGTCCTCTTCTCCGCCCTCATAGTTTTCAATCCCTCCGCTGCACCTCTTTCCATCTCCAACCTGCATTCCAAATTTGCAACCTCGGCCTTTGATTTTKCTAATCTCTCTTTGAGTGCCACCCGTTCGGTCACGAGCTTGCTGTTCTCATTCTCAAGCTGCTTCACCCTCTCCAAGTGCATGCCTTTTTCCCCCTCATGCTCCAATTTGAATCTCCTGAATCTCTCTCCTTGTGCCTGCCTCTCCGTTTTCACATTGCTTAGCTCAGTCTCAAACTCCTTTACCCTTTGTGCATGTGCTCGCTGCGCTTTCT